TATTCGCGTATACAGACAATAAGCGTGTCGGGAACGTTCGAAATCCAAATTTAGCAACTTTTCATTGAGTTTCTCGTTCCAGCATCTCGGAGACTGCTTTAAGCCAATAGTAAAGTGACTTCAGCAGCCTGCATATGGTGTTTGGTGGTGCCTCAACGCCATCTGGGACCCCCATATAGATGTCCTGTTTCAGTTCGCCGTACAAGAACGCTGTCTTCACGTCCATATTGCGGAACAAGAAGCCTTGGTTGACACCTGCTGCAACTGTACTGCATTTCCATCAGCATCGTCCTTAATCCGGAACACCCACTTGACCTTAAGGGGTTTCACGTTATCCAGGCACTTGACGAAGCGCCACACATTGTTTCATGCCATCGATTGAAGCTCGTCCTGGACTGCACCCAGCCATTTACGCTGATCGTCATGTCGCATGATGTCGTTGTAGCTCATGGAAACATCTGAGGAAATCAAATCGCCAGAAGTTGCTCTATAATTAACGAAAAAATCGAACAACTTACCACGAAGCCTGAACTCCCGTTCGCTACGCCTCGACACCGACTCATCATGGATTTCGTGTATTTTTATTTGCGAAGGGAGCGCGTTTGCTGGCTCTGCTGCAGAATCTTCAAAGTGGTCCTCGTTTTCGGTCGAGCAGCCAGCTGTCTCCTTGCTACCGGAACTTCTAGCTTCGTCATCACGAATGTCAGGAACAGCTCTTGCTCAAACGGAAAATTCAACACCAACGGGACATCTTGGCTTGGCTTCAGCTGGGCATACGGGAACGAACCTTCATCAAATGTCACGTCTCGAGCAGTTTTCACTTCATGCGCTAGCATGTCCCACAGCCGATAGCCATTCGGTGCGTAACCGATCATAATCATCTTACGGCTCTTTGGATCCAACTTTTTCCGCTGCTGACTTGGGACCCACGCAAAGCATCTGCAGCCGAACACATGCAACTTGCCAACATTAGGCTTCGAACCATACCATCTTTCAGCAGGTGAAATTTCAGAAGGCAGGGCGACTGTGGGGCTTCGGTTTAACAGGTACACGCACGCCAACGCTGTCTCGGACCAAAGATTTTTCGACACTCCCGAATCAATCAGTACAGCACAATTCTTCTCCTCCAAAGTCCTGTTGAATCTCTCAGCGACTCCATTCTGCTGCGGCGTGTAAGCAACGGTTACTTCCAGCTGGATGCCTTTCTGCTTGTAGAATTGCTTATGGGCGTTTGAGCAGTATTCTCTTCCTTGGTCAACGGTCATCTTTGAAATCAACAGCCCGTATGCTGTCGTCACTGTGGCTTCATACTCACGGAACACCTCGAACACGCCAGATTTCTTCTTCAACAGGTAGATCATTGCAAAGTGGCTGTAGTCGTCGATGAACGAAACGATGTACTAGGAACCATTCCAGGCCGGAGGGTCGATCGGGCCGCAGACATCGGAATGGATACGTTCCAAGAGCCGACTAGCACGACAACGCGTTCCGTTGAAGGGCTCACGGCACTGCTTCCCTTGAACACAAACTTCACAAAAACCGACTGGAGTCGATTTCTTGATTCCGTTCAGCATTCCTTCACGGATCATAACGTCCATCCCGTGCTGGCTAATATGCCACAACCGCCTATGCCACAACTTACTTGGTTCCGCATCACAGACATTGGCACAAGCTTTTTCAAGCTGCCAAAAAGTTCTCCATCTCTCTTCAAGAGCGTCGTGTGGCCAGAGAACACAACATCAATACCGGCTGCTCTTCTTCTTTCCTTTATTAAACGGCGATCTCTGTTCCGCAATCTAGTGCCAATCACCGACGGACATCGATTGCCATCCATTGACGGCAATCGAATGTGCAGGAATTCAGCTTCCACACCTGCGTAGCATATCGCACCCATTCATCAACACACATGGGCCGGGACCAACGGTTTTACTTCCCTTCCGAATGAAGACGTGACCAGATATTTTTATGCCTCAGAAAAATCCCACCGACCTTGACTGGGATTGAACCCAGACCCATTGGGGTGAGAAAGCCGTCACGCTTACCACTACACCACCGGCGCCGGCAAATACCGGCTGCTGTCAACTTCTTCACAGTCATCAAATTCTCTCTCAGGTCCGGAACGAGAAGGACATCTTTTATGTGGAACAGGACATCTTTGTTGCTGGTCGCATCAATCGTCCCAATTGTCTTGGCAATCATCGCTTGGCCTTCTTTTGCCACCTTGATCTCGATGGGATTCACCAGCGCTTGAATAGAGGAAAATATTGATTTATCACTTACCAAGTGATCGCTGCAGCCAGAATCCAACTCGAACACCACTTTGTTGGGGATTTCATGTGTCAATTTTGCAGCGTCTGCCATGAACGTTAATGCGTTCCTCTTGACACAGTTAGCTTCACCATTTCCACGCTGGTTGTTATGACCGCTGCCACGCCCATTTTCGTTGCTATGCCTGTTGCCACCACCGTTGTTTGGTCCGTTGCTATGGCAATCTTTTGTCATGTGCCCACGAATGCCACATTTGTGACACTTTCCGTTGAATTGCTTTTGGCTGCTTCCAGAAGATGCAGCCGAATTATCCCCGCCGGTGTTCTCTTGACGATCCGTCCGTTTAGATTCCTCCCCCAGTAGCCTCTGCTTCACCAGATCTAGGGTAAAATCTTCCTCGCTCACGTTCTCCAGCGCCGTTACCAACGGGTCGAATGAAACTGGCGACACCAGATCACCTTCCGCCAGGGTTGCACCGGCCGTTTTGAGCTTCCTGATCAGGCTATCGAACTCGACCAAATGACCTCGCATGTTACTTTCTTCCTTCATCCGGAGTCGTGCCAGTTGCTTTCGTATCAGTGTCTGGCTTGCCACGGACTTTTTCGCGTACGTAGCTTCGAGACTCTCCCACATCTCCTTGGTGGTCGTTTTTTCGCGCACGACTTCCAGGCAATCGTCCGAAATGCAACTCACCAGTATCGCTTTTCCTTTCCGGTCCAATTTGACGAACTTCGCTTGCTCAGCTACTACTGCCGGGGCCACCCCGATGAGCACTTCCAGGTTCAGTTCTAAATAATTTCAAGAAGAATAAAGATAATTCAGAAAAGAATTTCACGATATTTCTGAATTCATGCGAATTTTCAACAGAATTATGAAGGAATCTAACAACGTGATCCATGATTTTTGCAAGGAGTGATCAGCAAAGAATGTCTGGAGTGTTATTAATAAAATTTCAAGGGAATCCCAGAGATATTCTCATATTTATTTAATTCCAACTCGTGTAAAAATGTTGACCGTTCACTCAGTTGTCGACAGAAACAGGCCACTCTTGATGTGTGTCACGCGACCGTCTGTTTACTCGGCAGCAACCATAGTGTGGTCCTCCTCATTGTTCTTCATCAGCAGTTCTTTCGGTCCTGTACCTGCATCATCGACTTTTTTTTTTTTTGTTCCTTTGGTTTGTTTTTTCCGTCGATCTTGTTTTCCGTGCTGAGCACCAATGCTACCGACGTGCCAGGAAGGCAGCTCCCACACCTGGACCCTACCTATCGACCCATCAACTCATGAACCTGGGACCAACGGCTTTACTTCCGATCCGAAGGAAGGCGTGATCAGAGATATTATGCCTCAGAACATCCCGGCGGCGCCGACTGGGATTGAACCCAGGCCTGCTGGGGTGAGAGGTAATCACGCTTACCACTACACCACCGGCGCCGTTCCAATCGTCATCGACTTTCGAAAGCAACCATTTCGTGATTATCGTATGAGTGCTGATCACGTTTTGCGTTTATTGCTGCAATGGAAGCGCTCTGCCCCCCGTTGGCGATACTACCATACAATGAAACCACTCGAAGTGGCTTCCGTTCGGATGGAGGAGGTTTATTGGATAGCGGAAGATAAAGTGTTTATTGTGTTATGCATTTTGACTATAGGTTTAAGATGTATTGTATAGTGAACAAGAATCCTCAGCTCTGTTAAGTTAATTCGATTGAACCTTATCATATCATTTAAATGAATAAACTTGTGTAAAAGTTCTTTTCGTATTTTTAATGTAGTTAAGACAAAGGCATACTTTGCAGTCTTTTAAATGAGTCATTTAAATCATAGTTTTGGCTAACTCTCATTCTGTTTTATGCTTTATTTAAATGTGTTTCGTACTTCCGGGAAAATTTCCAAAATTCCGGAAAACGGGAATAACAAGTAAGAAATAGCTAATCGAAATTCACTGATAATCATGCAAGTTTGAGAAATACCTAATGTCATTCAACATAATAGCATTCTGCCTGTTGGCATGTGGCCAATCCTCTTTCTACACACAATTTGTCCAACCACCCTTTTTATCTCTAAATTACTGAACACTAAGTGTTATTAAATTTGAATGTTTCTATCAAGATAATTTTGAGTCATTCAATTAAAAATTGTTCTTTATTCCATAATAATAATGCTTGAAGACGAGGTCTACATTTAATAATGAAATCTTGTATTAAAATAGGTTTGAAATTAATTTAAATTAGATTTATTTCACACGAACCAACACTTTCCACACCATTCCGTAAATTTATTGATGCATTTCAAAAGGCTTCCGAAAATCAAAGAACGGATTTAAATGTATCGCAATTCCCATTGCCAGGCCAATATCTCCTCAAAGCCTCAATAATCTATGATGAAACCAAAATACCACATCCGGACTTGGAGCAATCGGAAATCAGATTTTAATCAGCAGCTCGTTGGCATCCCTGCAGTGGAAAAAAAAACCCGCTCCTGCACCTATGACCCCCCCCCCCCCCCCTGGGTCCAATTACGATGCTGGCGAAAGCTGATTATTTTCCATCTTTCTACTTCTGTCCCATCCCAGTGATGGCAACCGCAACGTCAAAAGCGAATCCAATACGCATAATGAAGTTCAAACAAGATTACGCTTTGGATCCGATCCAACCATCCACACATGCTGAGCCGAATGGATTCGTTTTAATTTCACTCCCACTCACTGCCCTTTCCATTTTCCGTTTCAGATTGCAATTAAAATCATCGTAGTCCTTCGTTCCTACGATTGATAACGATTCACCGGATAAACCGGAGCTGGTCGGCCGTCATCATTTCCCGCCCGATAGCAGCAGCTGCTGGAGTAGTGGTTGAACCTTGGACGGAGCCACCACCACCACGTTGCAGCCCAAGATCACGACGAGCTCCTTCCGGGTGCCGACCGTTGATTCCTCAAACGAAGCCACCACCTTCGGCGCCGCCTCCACAGCCAGGGAGCTCCACCACCGGACGACGGGGTGGGCGGCGCTGGGTGGAGGCCATGCGTCGCCGGAAGCCGATCGAGGGCTTCCTTCTGTGCGGTCTCTTCTTCTGGACGCTACTGGTGCATCTGATCTCGACATGCCTGCCTATACAGCTGGAGGAACGGATGGAAATCGTGCGGAAAGTGCTGAAGGAAGTGCCTTTGATCGATGGGTATGTTGCTGATGTGTATGCTGTTCCATCTGAATCGCCAATAATTTCCACTTCATTTCGCAGCCACAACGATTTACCGTGGAACATCCGAAAGTTCCTCAAGAACCAACTGCGGGAGTTTCGCTTCGGCGAGGACCTCCGCGATATTACTCCGTGGTCGACGAGTGCCTGGAGCCACACCGACTTGCGTCGGCTGAAGGAAGGCATGGTGGCGGCACAGGTAAGCGAATGAAAACAAAAAAAAAACGAAATCCCTAAATGACCATCAAGGGCAACCAGAAAATATCGTTCCGCACAAACACGTTGTTTGTTTCCCGGGCTGGGGAGAGATTCCGGGAATCCAACGGGGAGCAGTATGTGGTATTTTTCCCTGCTTCATCCTTGTTGGGCCGAAGATGGCTGTTTTTTTCTGGGCAAGGAAAAAAGACAACGAAAATTTTGGTCGAATGCGTGCTCCATATGCAGGAAGGGCTCTTGAGAGTATTGTGAGTGTGGGAAAAATCAAGCTGGGACCACAATTTTGGCTTTCTGCGCTTGAAGTTGATGGTGCTCTTTTACCTTTCTTCATGTGAGGAGAAATGGATATAGGTTAGCTTGGGCAGAAGTGGAGGCCCGTCAGTGAATGTGAAGCATCACTCAAGATGAGGTATTTTTCAAATGGTTTGCATTTTCAGTGGTCGCACTTTTACTTATCCTGGATGTTCCTCATGCAGAATATTATGTTAACTTCCTCCAAATGATTACGGAGGAACTTTTTAACTTTATCCGGACGTTTTATTCCTGGAAGTTCTACGGGGGTTCTTATGAACTGCTCAAAACAGCTTACATCAGTATCCACTGGAAATTTCCCGTTTCCTGGTCCGTGTAATCTTTTTTCAGTGAAAACGTTAACGTTAATGCCTTTGTTAGCTTTTTCCCAAGAAAATGAACTCAGCTCCCCTGGTCAAATTTCAAAATTTTTATCACCAATCGATCAGCAATATTTCTACGCATCAATGCAATGCTTCCGACAGTTGATTTTCAACGAGAAACTATTGAAAAAGTGGTAAATGTCCAGCATTGTCCAAAAGCGTTGAATTAACTAATAAATCAACCAATTACGTACACTAGACTGATGCAAAATTTGAAATTTTTGCTCCACAGTGTTCAAACGGTTTCAAATCGGGTCCTGATAAGCCTCCGAAAGTTTAAACTCATTTGATAAGATACTGACTTGGCACAAACCATGTGAATTTTAAATGGAAATTACTATGGGAAAACAAAACTTTTTGTTCATTGTCTTTTTGCCTTTTTTCCATATTGTATTGTTAGCATGTTCTATTGCTATTCTTATGGGAATTTTTATCAGCTACAACTTTGCGGAAAATCGTTTTTCAGCCAAACGTCAAATTAAATAGTTATTAATTGTTTAAGAGATTGATAATCTTATGGCAAGATTAAGCAACTGTATTGTTAGCAACACTGTATTCTACAGTGTGATATAGTAGCCATGTGTTTGTCCTCTATTCTACGTGCCATAAAAACCAATTGTTGCGGCACTTGGCAACACTGCGTGAATGAAACAGGGTAATGTTAATTTAGCGTGCGTAAGATTCACCCACCTTGTGCGGATCACCTTGTATGGATCACTTTGATCGCGCAAACGTCAAACGAAGGATGGAGAAAAATAATAGACGAAAACATTAGTGTGAGAAAGACTTTATTACGGCCATTGCTTCGAAAAATAGTGGTTACGCGGTGAATAATTGCTCTTGGTGGACCTGAAAATAGAATAAGAATTAGTGATCAACAGTTGAATTCGGGCTGAAGAAAATATTGAAGGTGAAATATAAATTGAATATCAAATAGAAAGAATATTAACATAAAAAGCATTTGCAGATAGTTGATGGAGAGAAAGAGCATGAATAGTGATAGCTAGGAGTGAAAACTATTCATGTATGTCATGTGATACGACCGGGGAGTACACCTCGTCGTAGTCCAGACAAGGTCGTTGAGAGCAGCCCTTCACCACGAGGCGGGCCTTGTACCTCTGGATGGTTCCGTCGAGACCTCGCTTCGTTCGGTACACCCACTTGTTCCGAATCGCTTTCCGCCCTTCAGGCAGATCGGTGAGCACCCACGTGCTATTCTCGCTGAGGGATGCAATTTCCTCACGCATAGCCGCAATCCAATGATCTCGGTCCGGCCGCCGCAGAACCTCATCGTAGCTCGTCGGATCATCCATCGTATCATTGTCGCTCGTCGTGTTGAAGGATAACTGAGGGTAATGAACACCACCAGAAAAGGAACCGTAACTAATAAAGTCATTATACTTGCCTGGATTACGGCGCTCCCGACCGCTGCACCTTAACCCTTGCTGCAACTCAGCTGGTCTAATCAGTTGCGGTGGGAGCGCAAAATCGGCACAGGCATCCTGGAATTCGTCTGCCTCACTGGACGAACTGTCGACAACGACGATGTCTTCCTTCGTTGTTTCGGTTTCACCAGGATTGCAACCCGGTTGATCGATAACAACAGCAGGCCCGGCTGCAGCAGGTACGACGATGCCATTCGGTTGTTCGCCTAGAGGAAGCACAGCGTGTTGACCATCTTCAGGAGTATCAGCTGCACCGGACTCAGGACGATCATGGATTTCATCCGAACAAAGCTCCATGAACTCCACCGGCTGCACTCGTTGTTCTGCCATACAGATAGCGACGCCTTCTTCCAGTACCATGACATCTCGGCTAACGTGGAAACGGTCATTCTCTTGATCATACACCCGGTAACCTTTCGTGTCTTCACAATAGCCGACGAAAATGCCTTTCTCGGATTTGGGATCAAACTTCTTCCTTTTCGCTTTCGGTACCAGAGTCATCACGCTCGAGCCAAAAATCTTGAGGTGCTTCAAATTCGGCTTCTTTCCGGTCCACGCCTCTTCCGGTGTTTTTTCTTCCAGGGAACGAGTAGGACATCGATTCACCACGTGAGCCGCGGTCGAAATAGCTTCTGCCCAAAACTCTTTTCCCAGCTTCGCATCGTTGAGCATGCACCGCGCCTTTTCTACCAGCGTGCGGTTCATGCGCTCTGCCGCCCCGTTCTGCTCAGGCGTATACGGGCACGTGGTTTGATGTCGAATCCCATCGGACTCCAACACCTTCCGGAAATCTGCATTCACGTACTCCTTTCCGTTGTCTGAACGCAAGATTTTTAGCTTCTTGCCCGTCTGTCTTTCCGCTTTGGCCTTGAACGTCTTGAACGCTTCGAGTGCTTGATTTTTCTGCTTCAAGAAGTAAACCACCACCCGCTTGCTTGCATCGTCCAGGAACGTCATGAAATAACGGCTTCCACCCAACGACGAAATCTCCACTGGTCCGCAGAGGTCGGAGTGTACCAACTCCAACAGTTCTTCAGCTCTTGACTCGCTGCTTGGGAATGAACGCCTCGTATGCTTGCCCTCCAGACAGGCAACACATCCTTCTAACGACCCATCTTGGAAATCTATTCCGTTGGCGATTCGCTTGAGCTTCTTCAAACCACCTTCGTGAAGATGCCCCAGACGTCGATGCCAGAGCTCCATGCCGCTTGCCAAAAACGACTTCTCTGGCCAATTGGCTCTGTAGAGGCCACCTTCCTCGACGCCGGTGACAACCAGATCACCGTCTTCGTCCCGAACTTCGCATCTGTCTTTGGTGAAAATAACAGTTTTGCCCTTTTTGCAGATCGTACTTACGGATAACAAGTTGGTGGCTAGGTCGGGAATCTTCAGAACACCGCTGACATCGATTCGACCATCGTTGCTGTCCAATACGACTGAACCCTTCGCTACGACCTTCATAGTGGCATTGTTCGCCGTTCCGACGTTGTGGTCCATCTTGACTTCATCGAGAAATTTCTGATCCGGCCGTGCCATGTGGCAAGTGGCACCCGAATCGAAATACCATTCACTGGTGCTGACGTCTCCCATGGCAAAAATGGAACAGAGACCCTTGTGTTTGCTCGCCTTCGCTTGCTGCTGCTTCTCCGGACACTTGGCAGCAAAATGACCCGGCTTCTTGCAGGTGTAACATAACTTTTCGCCTTTGCTACCGTCCTTGGATTCGCTTGGCTTCTTCCGGTTCGCTTTACTGTACAGGGCACCTTCCGCGCCGCTGCTGACCGGACCACGATCCAGCTTAACGTCCTGTAGAATTTTGGATTTCACTGCATCCGCTATCAAAGCCGCTCCAGAGGCTTCGAGTCCCATTATCATGGGCTCGTACTGATCAGGAAGACCCATCAGCAACATCGCCGCGAGCCAGAAATCGTCCACCTTAAAGCCCACGGATGCAAGCTTGTGGCTTGTGCTCATTAATTCGTCCACGTACGCCTCAACGCTAGCACAGTTGATCAGCCGTACCGACGTAAATTTTCTGAGCAGTCCAATCTTCCTGGTTAGTCCACTGTCCTGGAATGCAGATTGCAGCTTCGTCCAGGCTTCCTTTGCTGTAACCGCATCCTGCACCAGACTGTAATTGTAGCTCTCGAAGCTTAAGCAAATCGTAGCCAGAGCCTGCAACTTCAAATCCTCAGGAACACCTTCTCCGTCTCCGTCGATGGCAGACCAGCTTCCTTCACGGATTAGGATCATCCGCATCGCAAATGCCCACGTCGTGTAGTTCTCCCGGCCTCTTAGCTTGTCAATGGCTGGCAGTGCCACGGAACTTCTGGTGACTCGAACGCTTCCAGCTTCAGTCCTGCCGTTTCCGTTGGCGCCTCCATCTCCTTGACCTTGCTGTCCGGATCCTAAACTTCCGCCTGTGGACATACTTCTTCTGGTCTTGAAATTTTAGAGTCTTCCGGTTAGGTATTCTGGGCCCATAACCAATTGTAGAGAGTAATTGAAACACGTCTTTATCGGTTGACGTTGAACAGTGGAATGAAAATTTTATTCAGAAACTTAGCAACTAATAACAAGTGCATATAGCGACGCGAATTACTGGGTTGCTACGATCACAATAGTAACGATGAAATTTAAATAAACATTATATTTCAGTTTTGAGCTGCAACAACAACAAGCTGCTTCAAAAAAAAAATAGTTTGAGATCCGAAATGAATACAGAATCGCGTTCTCGCCCTCACGACCCAAATGAGACGGGCTATAATTGCGGGAAGTGCAACCGTCCGGACGAAGATGAAAGCCAGTTGGTGTTCTGCGACAATTGTCAGCTGTGGTTCCATTTTGGCTGCCAAGGAGCGTCG